ATAAATCATCGATAATTATTTCCAATACTTTTCGTACATCCCAAAAAAGCACCACTTCAGATAACTTTGAGATACACTTTCGTTCACGTTGATACATTTATAACGATGCTTAAAAAAAAAAAAAAAAAAAAGAAAAAGGAAAAAAAAAAAAAAAAAGAAAGGAAAAAAAAAAAAAAAAAGAAAGGAAAAAAAAAAAAAAAAAGAAAGGAAAAAAAAAAAAAAAAAGAAAGGAAAAAAAAAAAAAAAAAGAAAGGAAAAAAAAAAAAAAAAAGAAAGGAAAAAAAAAAAAAAAAAGAAAGGAAAAAAAAAAAAAAAAAGAAAGGAAAAAAAAAAAAAAAAAGAAAGGAAAAAAAAAAAAAAAAAGAAAGGAAAAAAAAAAAAAAAAAGAAAGGAAAAAAAAAAAAAAAAAGAAAGGAAAAAAAAAAAAAAAAAGAAAGGAAAAAAAAAAAAAAAAAGAAAGGAAAAAAAAAAAAAAAAAGAGAAAGGAAAAGAAAAAAAAAAAAAAAAAAAGAGAAAGGAAAAGAAAAAAAAAAAAAGAAAAGGAAAGCTCGTACTCGGTGGCTGGTGATTCTTTTTTTTTCTGATCGGATGTTTGAACAGCTAACAGAAAGAAATTAATCGAGGATTCTGCATTACAATCACGGAATGGCCACACAAATCACGGGGTCTTGCAGTCCCTTTGGATAGGGGCCAAAAAGTCGTTCAGCGTATCGGATGCTCATTCAGAACGCATCGAAACGCGTCGATAAATCATACACTTCGTATAAATGACCCTCACGTAGGTCCAACGAATAATAAATTTTTACGTCTTGCATGGATCTTTTCTTGCATCGTCACTGGCAAATGAATTTTCTGCCAGCTGTTCGATATAACGATATTTTGCTCTTCATTAAGAAAGCCGAGGAAGGGCAACGTTTACATCTTTTCAACTGGATGAAGATAATTCATCCTTGCAACTTTTGTGGAAAGCTTTTTTTCTCGTTTATTGGCACCGATGATAATTAAAATTGTGAGGGGAGCCGAATAATAATTAATAAAATAAATTGAGAACAAGTTAATCGAGTGCGTTCAAATGTGAACAAGTTTTTTAAAAATTGATAGAGGTTTCTAAAAGACTTTCTATAATTACAAGAACAAATGAAGAACAAATGTAGATATTTAATGAATAACGAAAAGTTTTATACAATTATTCTAAGAATTTTTTATAATTGGAACGAATTAACAATTGTTTCTAACAATTTGTTTCACATAAAATGGATAAAAAAAAATTATATGTTTTTGGATAATAGGATTACACAAATTCATCAGAAAAATAGAAATATTTAAGAAATTCAATAAACTGAATTTCTCAAGATTTATATTCAGGTGTTGAAAGAATTTCATAAAAATTTCTTGCAACTTCTCCAATTAAATATCATCTCTTTTTTTTCCCAAGGATTATTTATTCGAATAATTATTACCAACAATATATCACGATGAGAAACGAATCACCTCCATCCAAAAATAAAAAAGTAATTTCAACACCTGTCCAAATATATCAATTTTCCAAATCTCTCGAACTTGGACAAATCATCATCCATCACTCCATTCTGAATCTTTGAAAAATCACCTACCCACAGATTAATATAAATTTCTTCCCTTTACCAACCACAATGTATCCGTATGAAAAATCGCTTTCACGCTTGCAACCTCGAATTTATTGCAATTTTGCTACCTTCTCACGCACGCACACACATTTAACAACATAAAAGATAAACACATCTTTAAAACACGTAACCTCCATGGGCAAAAATGTCGCGTTATCATTTTTCTCTACATTGTGCCGTCATATTTATGCCAACCTCGTGGCCACCCCTCAATTTGTCTTTTAAAATCGTCGAATCGTTTCGAGGGGGCCGTGCACCGCCGCATATGCATTCGCGATTATTCACTCTGTTGCAACAGGGCCGCCGTAAATAACATTTTTATCTTCGATACTCTTCCCTGTTAAACGAGCCCATCGAGATAAAGCCCTCCTCCCCTTGATAGATATTCTCCACCTATGTCATAATGAATTCTTTTTTGCGCGGTGGCTGTGTGCGCTCTTTCGAACGATTTCTTGGTACGTCTCCGCCCTGTTCGAGTCCATCCCTGCTTCCCGACATCCTCATTATTATTATCATTAACTATAAAAGGGAGAGAGGGAGGGAGAGGAAAGGAGTTACAGCGGTTTCACACTGGTTATTCTCAGGAGATTGTTTTACTCAGGAGAGTTTCATGATACATTTAGTGCCCCCTAGCGTAACGATTTGCCAACTAATCGATGTTGAATTTAAAGTTTTAAATTATAGATTTTTTGCTTTATTTATTATAATTTTACAATTTCGAGGATAGGATATAAAATAAGAATGATTCGAATTGTGAAATTTCGCGTTTTTATTAGAAGACTTGTTATTTTTATGCAAGAGGGCTTGTTTAATTTTATTTTATCATGAAAATGATTTGATTTTGAAAGTAATCGAATTAAGCTTTCTATTTTTTCTAAATAGTTAGACAGTCAATTGTAGAATCATACAATTGTCAAGTGTTTAAAAAATTTGTCTACAAACAAAAATAAAAATTCGTTCGAAAGAGTTCAGAGAAAGAAATTTTTTTCTGAATATGAACGATACGTTTTTAGATGAAATTGTTGTGAGACCAATAAAATATCCGGTGTGAAAGCGCATTTAAAGGAAGGATGGTAGCAAAATAGAGGGCGGTGATGGCAGAGAGAAGTTGCGCGAGCTGGCTTTCGCTCTGCTTGCATTCGTAACGCGAGAATTATCGATCGCCGCCAAGCATTGCATCATAAATTACTGTTTTTATCCGCGGGCCCCTATTTCGGGGCCCCTTGATCGCCCCCAACCTCTCGCGCGCGTTGGAGATTTATCTGGAATATTAAAAGTCGCTTCCTGCCTCGCAACTTGACGTTCCTCCATTTTTTTCTGTTCGATTATTATTCCCCTGGATAGCTTGGTTAAATAAATTTAATTACTGGTAAATCTGCGATCAGATGGCAAAAGCTGATATGTTATACTTTTCATAAAAATTGAGGTACATTCTTGTTCGTAAATCGTACTTAATAATTTTAAGATAATTCGTTTGTTGATTATATTTAATCAATAGTGAATTTTTTTGTTTTGTTTGAATAATAAATGCGAGTATTTATTTAAAATTTTTGTCGTAACAATTGTTTCTTTAGTTTAATTGCAATAAAATTTGAAAAAATGTACTATTTATATATGTATCTATATATAATAATAGTTTATTGAATATTGTAATTTTTCAAAGACAAATTCTTGAAATTTTGTAAAATTGAAAAAGAATGACGTATCAAATTTTGCCATCTTGAAAAAATTTTAATATTAAAAAAAATAGTGTGTAGGATAAAACTGTTTTATAGAATATCAAAAAATTCATTTCCCCTTTTTCATTTATTTAAATCCACAAATCTTCTTATATTTTCATCTTATTTACAATCCTTACATTTATCAATCTTTATACTTTTAATCTGATTCGATAAACGCTTCGTTTAAACGAGACAACTTCCTCCATTTTATCGCGTTTCAAAAATTTATTTAGAGTATTTGAAAACTTGTTTTTGGTCGTGCATCTTTATATAATTCCGAATAACAATTTTTTATTTTTTTTTACAGTAAAGAATTTAAGGTTGAGTACTAAAAATCTTTTTAATTACCTCATAAATATCCAGAATGTGTTCAGGTGTAAGAAATTTTTTTTTTTCGTGCGTGTCGAAGATTTATCTGCAACCAATCTTTTCCTTGCTACCGTGTTCAGTCATGCAATTTCAACTTTGGCGATCATTTAGGATATACATTTTCATCAGTGCATAAATATTTTCATTTTCAAATCAAATTCAATAAAGATTTAATTTCTTTCTATCATAAAATTTAACGTAGAATCATCATTTGTATATCTACCATATTCTTTAGTGAAATTAAAAATAATTATTGAAAAATGTATCAAAGTCCAGAATACATTAAATACGCAAATATTATATAACGCGTTTCGAATTATTATGTTGTCAACATCTTTGATCATTTGCCAATCAATTGTTGAATTAATTGTTAAACAAAGATCGTGTCATGTGTGGCTAAATTTCGAAATTTGGAGGATACTCGCCAATCAGCAATCTTTTCCGCAAAATGGAGTCCGGTTAATGACCACGATCGCCTTTGGGCCGCTCGCTATCTCAGCTCGATTTCGCGTTTCGCCGTGCAACGCCATTATCATCGCGTATCATCTCTCTCTCCGTGTCGAGAGAGTTCGGTACACGCGAGAATTATCGACGCTCGTTGATGCACACCGCTGTAAATAACAGTTTTTATGCGATTTTTATGCCCTACCGTTTACCCTCGCGGCCGGAGATTTATTTGAAAAATTTTTATTCACAAAATAAAAGATGGACGAAAGGGAATAAAAAAGGGGAGGAGGAGCTCAACCCTCTTTCGCTCTTCCCGTTCGAGATTCTTGGAGATGGGCGAGCATCTGCGTCGAGCGATTTTGTGTAAGGAATAAATTAAAATCGTCTGTTATCTTTGAATAGTGAATTTATTCGTCATTTGCGAAATTTGCGAAATGAAAGAGACGAATAAATTTGGTGATCCACGTTTGTTGTTGCTTATGACTTTTTAATTAATTATAATATGCAACGAATCTAAAGAATATTCCATTTAATATGAATTTTATTTTATTTTATGAAAATTTACTGCATTTTTTATCATTCTTATTCCGAAATCAAGGAATTAACATTACGTACTCAAATAATCAATTCTTCAAGTTATCATTTTCCCAATTAATTCATCTTGCTTCAAATTCTTTTGATTCATTCGAAACGTGCGTCATCAATATTTAAAATAATTATTTTAAATAAATTATCGTTTCAAATAAGTTTCGTTCAAAATTAACGAATAAAATAATAAAAATTTGAATAACAATAAATAACAGAAAAATAGAAATAGAATAAAATTTCTTTCATTCGAATAACAGCGAACACAAAGCGCTTGTGCTTGTACTTTTGCCGTAGGTATACCCCTTGCAGCTGGCTACGTGGTGGAATGCGTTAGTGAACACGCTGGGTGGGTGATTTTTGCAGGGCCGTACCGGACCCTTCTCCTCTATCTTTCCGGTTAAAATATTCGCGATCGATCGCTGGATCGTTTATAATATATTTTCTGCACGACGAATGCGTCCACGATCGATCGATATTTATTCAACGACAAGCGCAAGAAATATAACTCAATTTCTAATTGCGAGCGTGGATCGAAACTGGGGATAGGGTTCGGTGACCGTCGCGATTAATATATTCCATTCTTGGCCGCGAGAGGGCTTTCTTGTGGCTCCGATCACGTGATCGTTCAGAATACGAAAAGGTTTTCGTGCACGAAAAGTTTGTTTCTTGGTGAATTAGTTGATTTTAACTTGATAAAGTTTAAATTTTGCATTAAATTGAATTATCTTAGTTCGAATTCGAGATTGGAATTATATTCGAGTAAGTTGAATTGAATATATATTATGTTATTTATTAGTTAAGAGTTAATATATCGAAATCGAACAATTTAACCTATATGTTGACAACTCGATATTTGAATATTTATTTCTATATTTTCTGTGCTAATTTTTTTTAATAATTTTTTGGATTCTTATATTTTGGATAGTTTTAGATCGATTTTTATTATAATATTAAAAGTTTATGTAAAAAGTTAGTTATCGAAAATAGAAAAGTATTAGGGAAATTGAGGTACTGTAAAACACAAAAGCTGTAAACATAGAGGTTAATTTGAAGCAAAAAAGCGAGACAGCACAAGAATTGTTTTTATAATTTCTATTCTATAAATATTAGAAACAATCCGGTATATTTAATATTGCAGAATCCAGATACTGATTTCCTCTTCTGATCTTCGTCATATTTACGTAGATGTAACGCTTGTGTACAAGAATTTCCACTTAACGAAGATCCATCAAAGAATGTACTTAACCAGTTTTCTCATGTAATTGATTTACTTCAGGGAGAGACGAAGAAAGTCGTTAAAATCAAATGACTTGTCTACCGTAAGTTGAAAAATCTAACAATATTTCGAAAAGAAAAGAGTACATCATGTTTTTTTAACAGAATTGTTTATAAACTTAATTGCTATATAATTATACAAGAGGAAATATAAATAAAATAGTGGAATATAATATAAGAAATGTTATAAAGATATTCATATATAATCTTGTCATGATTGTTTTGAGATAGTTAATATTAAAATTAATTTAATTAATAATAAAATAATTTCTTGCTAGATAGTTAATATATCTTGAAATACTTTGAGGATTTTTCAAATTTAGTATTTTTTCATTGAATAATATGATAGTTCATTAATTTCAGTTAATTTCTGTTATAGCATATTTATACCATACTTATTCCAAATTATTTATTTATTTTTTTCTTTTCTTTATTTCAAGGAGTATTATTCCATTAATTACACTAAAATATTTATAGCTCACATTATAATAGTTCACATTATAATAACTCACATAGTGTGAGCTATTATTTTCATTTACTTCAATAAATTTAAACACATTATTTTTCTTTTGTTGCAATACAAAACAAATTATCAATTTTATTCAAATTTTGATACTTCTACTAGTAATTCCTTACTAATTCCTTACAATTCCTTACAATTCCTTACAATTCCTTACTAATACTCTTCCTAAGTAATTATAATTACCAACTTTATTAATTATCTTAATTAATTGGTAAGTTTGATATTATAAAATAAAAAAGTATTATTTAATCTAAAATATAAACATATTATTTTTATATTCTTCTTTACTATCAAATCTTTCTTTCCTTTCTTTCTCACCTTTCTTTCCTATTAAAACTTATATTTATCACTTACCATATAACACTCCTAATAAAAATTGGTAGGATAAAATCCATCTTACGCTCCTGTTCCTCCAAAATGATCCTTCTCAAAAGCCTCTCGTTTACGTTGCGCTGTTCAACAAGAAAATTTGCCTTCGAGGTTGAACCACGCGTATCGCGCTTATACGTGTTCACATATAAAACTCGTATAGACACGGGTGTGCATAGCCAGCCACCGTTGATTTATCGGTCGACATTTTTTCGAGGGATTTTTATTACGTTTTGATCCTTTCACGCATACATTTAGCCAAGGATGGTCCATGCCAGCGCGTGGACACTCGAATCGCCCTGCAAAATCTTCCCATCCTCTTTGCTTTTCCGAGAAATCCTTCTTCGTCGTTTTTCAATAATAAATTCGCGTAATATGTGCACTATGATAATAACTTACAATAATGGTTTAATAAGAAAATTTAAGAATTAATTGGTACAATTTAAAGGCCATTTGACAGTCATTAATATCTAATTGGTGTATTCATATCAATTATTGATTAAAGACTGTAGGAAGTCACATAAATTTTAGAATATATTTTTCATAGATTATAGAGTAGAAAAATAATTTAAAAATATTTTATATTTATAATTATAAATGAATAGTTAGTTCATATTAATAGTAACTTATTTTAATGTTTATCTGACTTCTTAGAATTTAATTTAAATTGAATAAATTGAAAGAGAGGAAGTGATTTTGAATCAAAGAATCAATATTAAAAATTAGTCGGGATAATGGATGAATTAAAAAATAAATATTTCACATATGCATCACGTATACATTATTTTTACAAGAAACATATGTCTATCTCTATTAGTATTTACTAGTTTAGTAGAAGTTTAGTAGAAGTAGAATATTCATGCACAAAAATATAATGTATACAACTGCATTAATAATAATTAATAATAATAATTAATAATATGATACATATAATTGTTATATATATACAAGTTACAACGTAATTTATAATCGTTATAAATTAATTACAAACATAATCGGAAATATGCATTGTGTAATAGAGCAGACATTACATGTTTTCCAAATTGAACAAGAGAAAGATCATTAATTTTAATTAATCTTTCGATTGTAATGAATCTTTTTTCTCGAATTTTCTTCTCGAATAATTATTTCGATTGAATTTGTCAAAATTATCGTAAGTAATATTATCGTTATATAAATTTTTATCGAGATAAAGTTCATTGATAAACTCTTCATCGTCAATGAATTTTTCTAGCAATCGCGTCGATTATCCTTTGATATGTAGCACTGTCCAAACCGCAAAATGATTTATCTCGTGGAAAGATGGACAATGCTCTTCGTCTTCGTCGTCGACGTAAAATATCGTCGAATTCATCGTCTATTGTTGGAGGATTAACCTTGGCGTAATAAAGCGCCGCGAAACCACTGTAGATGAGGAGAGCTGCGGTGGCAAGCTGTTGGAAAATTTAATTATCAATATTTATCGTTAATATTATCAAGAAAAATTTCTATCTCACGATCATTTCATGATCAATTCTTTTTGAATGTCAATGATCTATCATCAAATGTTATTTTAATAATAAAATTTCTTAAGAAATTCTTCGTATGGAAATGGAAAATCGAATGAGCATTAGATGCTTTAAAAAATGCTCAAAAAGAATTCTCAGAGAATTATTTTTTATAATTTTAGAAAAATATTTAATAAAATTTCTTAATAAACATCTTCTTTTGAGAATACTTTTTGATCTTAATCTCGTTTAAACTCGACACGAACCATCAGAAACCACACGCAAATAGGAAGTGATAGGATAGCATAGGAGAATGCACTATTCTATAAGTGTTTATTCTATAGTAATGCATTTTTTATAGTTGGCGCGTTTTTGCGGTTTTGCATCTAACTGTTGTTAGCTATTTTCACGTTTCTCTTTATTCAATTGAAATTATATTATTACGTACTTATAGTTATTACTTTGGTTTTTGTTTAGATAAAAACATTTTTTGCTAGAATTTTAAAATATTCGAACTATGTTTATATATTTTATTTTAATTCTTTTAATATCATATTCTTTTAATCAAATGAGAGGTTGTTTTCTAATAAGTATCTAGTGTTAAATATTGTTTAAAAATGTTTTAAATATATCCTGATGTTAGATATATGATATTTTATCCTTTTCCATAGAATATCATATTTGAAATTCATCGAAACTTACTTGAAATACAGCCCAAAATTTGTAACTTCCTTCGTTTATCAAAAAGTCATAATAACCACTCCAATAATCGACTTTCGCTCTCATAGATTTCATATCGGATTCTTCCTCTTTCATTGCATGATGATCATCGTCATGGTTATTATGGTTATCCTGATACATTGATCCATGATCCTCCTGGTAACCGCGTCGATACATTCTCGGATTTCTAATAAAAAATCAAAGAGAAGAATAATTCGATTAATTTATATCATTAATTTAACGATGTCAAGTAATTTTTATTTTAAGGAACACGAAACAATTCTTTAATATCACAACCTGTATGTTTGAACAGCAGTGCCAATTGCAGATGTGTCGTCATATTTATCGGATTCCGGAAGTATATCAATCTCGTCGAAAGGTTCATTTGTTTTCACATGAGAAACGAAAACAAGTAGCAGAAAATAGTGACACACTAAATTTGTTTGTACTCTATCTGAAATATAGAAGATTTTGAATCATTCAAAAATAGTATTCTTCGTTTCTTACTTAACTCAAGAGATAAAAATCCCCAATATCGAATCAAAATTTTCAACATTGCAAAACTATTTGAAAAACTCATTCCAAAAATAACAAAATCATTTCCATTTAGGTATCTTATTTTGAACAGCTCAAAATTCGCGCACAAAAAAAATAAAAATTCGAATCAAAATGGAATCACAATTCATTTGAAAAATCATAAAATCTATTTTTACTCAGATCTTCGAAGAATAAAATAATATCGAAAAATTATCTACCCATAATTTCAATTGCTCTTCACTCGTTTCCAAGGAACCTCGATCGCTCGAAAACTACCACGTCTTGTTCCTCTCATTCGTGAACACGTGTCCATACGCGCACTGGTCTTCTATTTGCCCTCACCGATTCATGGAAACGAAAACGATTCACCACCGACCGATACGTAGATACGAACGTTCATTCCTCGATGGCCGTGGGTTCATCGATCTCGTGCCACACGAAACGCGTCTCTTTTTCGAAGCTTTTTCGTCCACGTTTTCAAAGTTGTCAACGGTGAACACCGAATATTAGTCGAGTGAACCGTCTGTGATAAAATCTAAGGAGAGACTGAAGGATTCGTGGGTCCAGTTTAAACATACTGTTACCGGTAACTGTATCACGAGAAACGTTAAGCAAATCCAGCGTGCAGCGCTAAAAGCCCTAATTGTTACATACTTACTCTTACGCGTCCTCGTGTCGTAGTCTAGAAAGATTTCAGACAAAATTCGGTTTTGAGATTAGAGATCGTGTCTTCGATCGTGTCCACCCAGACGGTTCCATTATCGCGTCGTTAAATCGAAAAGTAATTCACGTTATGTTTGGTTTTTTAATAAGATCGTTGAATCGATGAGGTGTACGGTTGAGATTTGTTGGCTGGGATGAAGGAGTTAATTTAGAGTGGGCGGATGATGTGTTTGTATAGCGTTCTTGTCGGTTTCATGGTCGATTATGGTGATTAATTAAGTTCAAAGTGGTGATGAAGTTTCTGTTGTTTCGCAATGATTTTGTTAAAAATCGATGTTCATATTTGGCTGTTTTAATAGAATTTAAATTTGATGATGATTTATTAAAAATGTTAATATATTTGGATTGTGTTTGTTTTAAAATAAAAGCAGCCAAATTTTTTAAAATAAAATAAAATCAAAAATTAAATATAAAATATTAAATAAAAAGGTGAGCTACGTAATAATTCAATCAGATATACATAGACGCCTTAAGAAAACTGATTAGTGCACATACGAGAATATTAATTTAACGGATTTTTTTGATCTTGATAAATTTACGTACAGGTGTAAAATGAAGTTGAGTGTATCCAATTATAAATGTTATATTTATAAGTAAATAAAACTTAAATAGAATACATTTATTGAAAGATCACTGTTAATAGACATTTTAGATCTGATTTTTCAAACTACACATATATTTTTTAATTTAATTTAAAATTTTGGAATAATTTAATCTTAATAGAATCCTAAATCTTCTATCCAATATATTTAAAACTAAGATTAATATTAAACAATTTTATAAATATAAAAGAAAATTCGATTGTTAATTTAAATATCGTATTATTAAAATTTACATAATCATAAATCATTCGTGAATCCATTATCAATATCGATACCAAATTCAACAATTTCCATTCCTATTCTCCAATTCTCACAACATCCAATTTATTTCCAACTATTGATCTAGATAAAAGTATGATAGCAATCACGGTTTGGATTGTCATTTTAGTCAATTTGAGCGTTTAGCCGTTTCCTGTTGCGATTACTATTTAAAACGTGAAAGGTGTGTATCGAACGGAAAGTTTCTTTCAGGAAGAATGGAAATTTTGATGTCATCGTTCGTGGATGATATCTAGGCAAAGAAAGCATTATGTTTGGGTCAGTTAGGCTGCGTGCATCCTCTTACGGTTATTAGGTGAGGCGATTAGCAAGTTCTTAAGCGAGTCCCGTTGAAACAATACTCTAAACCGGCGATAATTGCGACAGATGGTTTTACTTGATGCTCGACTTTTGCGTCTTATGCTCGTTTGAATTTGCTCTAACCGATTATCTTGATATTCGTAAAATTTTGTATTTAATCTTTCGAAAACTGGATTAATAAAACTGGATAAATCTCATATTATTATATCTCATTATACGTATTTAGTATGTATTACATCATTATAGTATACGTGTTCAATATTAGAATTAATCGTTAATCAAGTCAAATTGATTGGTTTGAGATATTTCGTTTTTGTAATTGTTAAAATAATTGAATAGATTTTTGGTATTTTGGATTTTATTAAGATAGAATTATTATGTATTATATTTAGTTTATTTTCACAATGGTATTTTAGTTTTAGTCATCTGTATAATGTACATACAATATTTATATATTATAGATAATAGATATAGAGAGAAATCCTCATTTGTAGTTTCTTCTAATGAATGTAGAACGTTAAATAAGATCAAGATTATCATATCGTTCGAGAAAAAAAGAAATAAATAAATCTAAAACAAGCTTAAAGCATGGATTCATTCAAGACGATCCATTTTTTTTTACACTTCTTTCTTTCTCTATTGAACGAAAATGAATATTCGCGTGTTCTCATTGTATGAAAAATACAACGTGCGTATATAAAATTCGCGAAAATGTGATATGAAAGGATGATGATTCGTATTCCATGTACGAAATCAGGAATCATACGTGGAATGAAAGCAGGGATGAATCAAAAGGGCGTAATTGGTCAATAGGAATGCGAGACCATTAGAATTCTCATGCCGTTTCCAGTAATTCTTTCGATTTCGCCGATACTGACAAATTCCGGCTCGTTATCCCGCCAAAAACTTGCGCCACCGCTCGTCACGCGATTGTAAGAAGCAGTCATAACCGAATACGCTTGTTTCTCAGGAATTTAGGAATCGATCGCGCGCCAAATGATCGCAGCTGCTATTATTATTTACGATAAATTAAATTTTATTCATTATTCGATTGAAGATCAGGCTTGGATATATTTGATTTCCCCAAATGAGGATAAAGAATAGAGTAGAAAAGTAATTTGAATAAATTTTTATTAGAGTAGTATTTCTTTCGAAATAATGGAATTATAGCAATTTCAATCTTCTGTCTAGTATGCATGTAAGGAAATATTTAAGATTATAGAGAAAAGTTATTGGTTGGAATACATAACGTAGTAAAGAATTGGCATAAATTTTCATTTTCATGTTATAATTACTATATATGAATGGTGTAAAATTATTCTTACACTTTTATATAAATATTACATTAAATATTTACAAAAAACTTATAATATTTACACGTACAAAATTATTACTCGTATTGTAATACGTCTTATTTATATTACTTACTAAAGTTATATTACAAACAAACAGTGGATTCGGTATGTTGTCAAAATTAGAATTCCACGAACTTAATTTAATAACATGCGATTTGTGTATATGTGATATTATCGAAACATTCATCGCAATATCATAACATTAGATCGTGTAATATGTTCAAAAGTAATAATGATTCGTCACACGATCTAATATAACTCTAATATCGCGCGATCAAATTTTCAATTTTCAAATATATGGTAAAACTGACTCATCGAAATCAATTCTCCCCGCTGCAACTCGTCCAACTCATTCAAATTAAAAATTAATCTAAAAAATTTGTCCATACTTCTCGGCAAAGCTCTCGACACTCTGCAACGCTTCACCCGCGAAATCCCACCAGCTGAAATCGTTGTACGATCTGCCGTGATCGTGATTCACAGCATCGGCCAAATGCGCGGGGAACGTGATCTTGTGCCTTGCGATGCTCTTCAATACCAGGGCAGCGATGTATATGATGAAATAGATGCTGAAATACAGTGGAATGTACCAAAGCTTCTTGCCTATGTAGTAATAAGAGTATGGCCTCTTGTCGAGCCTCTGATCGTTCATTTCCGGTTGCTCGGTGTGGTATTCCGGTATGTGGTCGTAGATCACCTCGTGATGGAAGTCGTGATGATGGTGGCCGTAAGAATGGTGGTCGTCGTATGGCGGATGATCCAGATGGCCGGAATACTCGATCGGTTTCGGTGAATCATTGTTGTAAGACGTGTCCGGCTGATAATCGGAGTAGTCGGAATCGTGGGACGCCATGTAGGAATCCGGTTTGTAGGAATCTGGTGGCTGAAAACGATCATTTGCGCGAGTTTGAACTGAGATTGATTGGCTCGGAATTTTAATTACGGTATGATGGATATTTGAAGCTTGGTAGTATGTGTGGGTATCATCTTAAAATGATTAAAAATCTGGTAAGGATGAAGATTTCTTTTTAGATTATTGAAAAGAGAATTGATAATACGATGAGAATTTGATAACCTATGAATTTTTAATTCAATAATTCGTATTTGAATTATTCGAGTTATATTTTGTCGTGTATGAGATCATATCGAAATCATATACAAACTTCAACTTGAATATCTTATCCCTCTTTACTGTCACTTCTTAGTATCATCCATCAATTTCAAGGTTTATTCAATTAATTTCCCAATAATGTATACAAAGTAGACAGAAGAGATAGAGAGAGAAAAAAGGATGCATGTATTGAATTTCAAAAGCAAAGTAGAGTATTTTGGTGTTCGAAAGATGTACCTTGTCACTTATCTCAGAATCTGCGTAGTCCATCGACATTGGCTTCGAGATCGGCTTGTCGCCGAGGTAATCTGGCGGTTTCGAAATCGGCTTACTGCTTAAGTAATCTGGTGGTTTATAGTCGTAGCTCTCTGAAAACGTTGGCTTAGAAAAGTCGAACATGCTCGAAGATGATGGTGGACCGCTTGGTGGACCGCTTGGTGGACCGCTTGGTGGACCACTTGGTGGACCGCTTGGTGGACCGCTTGGTGGACCACTTGGTGGGCCATTTGATGGGCCATTTGGTGGGCTGCTTGGACGATTGGCAGGTTTCGAGTTTTCCTTCATATCGTTCGATGGTTCCTTGTTTTTGAAGCTAAGTGGTGATGGATGATACCTGTCCTGAATCTGTTTCTTTGCGTTCTTTGTGTTCAATTGTGCTAATAATTCGTGGTCCAATGTTGAGTATCTAATTATAAATTAATATTTGGTATAGAGTAAACTGTCCATGAATATTGCGAAAGTTTTTGATGAAGAAATGAATTGTTAAAATATAAAAGAAATATTAATTCGATACTGCGTTTACATTCTTTTGATTATTTATTTTTAATTTTTTATGTCATGATACATTTTTTAATATTTGGTTGTAAATAATTAAATGCTCGATTGAAATCTTTAAATAGAATTTAAAAATTCCAACAAAATTCTAACAAAATTTTAAATATAATTTGTCTCTCTCTTTCTCTTTAATTTTAAACGTAAATCTTTCTTACCTTCCAACAGAGGGATAATTAATCGCTTCGCCATTTTTTAGATTTTGAATTTTCGATGAGATGTATACAGGCGACATAGTGATAGCTATGTTCTTGATACTCCTCGATTCGCTTTGCGTTCCATTACTTCGTTACAATAAACCGGAAGAAAAAAAATTTATCTAATTATTAATTTAATTGAAATTATATTGCTTTTGTATTTGGAATATATCTCAAAAATTTGAATTCATTTTTTTTCACTATGTCTTTTTAAAAATTATGCAATCATATAATTGTTATCAACTTTACGAAAATAATAGAAAGGTTAAATCAAACGTTTTTCGTTGTCTTCCAAAACGATCAATGATCTAACCTGACGATCCACGGATCATCGTTCCTCGTGTCCACGTCTTCTTGACCGTTCCTCGACACTTTCGCATATGACATCACTTGAGGCAAGACCGAATGGATCGACAGACTTGCTAAAAGCACTGAAATTAATGCGCGTATCATCTTCGATATCCAAAGATGAATGATCGAGGAACTTCGCTTCGTGTCTTCTATATAGACTCTGTAACTGTATCTCTCGAGCCAGTCGTTGCTAATTTATTGTCCAACTCAATTTTCACCTGTTGCCGCTATTTAATGCCATTTACAATTTTCTTCTCTTTTTAATCTGAAAAAAACCGTGTAAATTTTGAGACAGAAA